TTTTAGAATAGTTTGTAATATATATCTTTACAAATTGCCTTAATTCCTGGAAGACTCCCACCCAAGGACTGATAAGCCTGACACAGTTTGGCTTCCAAACCTAATTCAAATGCTGCCACCTGCTGTGAGATAAGTAGTAAAACATATTATCAGATTTATGCACTAGCAGAAACTTCCGGGTTTTTTTGCCCCAGGAGATTTTAGGAAGTCCTATCTTCTTAAGAGTTGGAAAGGATCCTTTTGGACATTGAGGTATTTCAAATGAAATCCAAATGAAAATATTGTCAAGAGATGGCTGTCAGAACTTATTTTGTATGCAATCTACAAGTCTCATTTTGAACACAACTCAACAAAAGAAAAGCCATCATTTCTTTGGGTAATTGGTTCCTCTACTGAACTCTCCTCACTTTTGAAAGGTTTTATTCTTATATTCTTATATTCAACGGGAATCTGCTTTCCTATCATTTAAATCTCAAGTTATATTTCAGGTCATACATACATAAGAATCTTTGGAAGATTCTTTTTCTCAGACTCATGTGGAAAAAAAATACAGATCCTCAGTATATTTTCTGTAATGTTTTGGGATACGATCTAGCAATTGTATTTCTATAAAGAAGTTCTTCAAATTCTTTTTAAAAATAGTATTGAATGCTCCACTGTTGACATTCATTATATTTGAAATTTCATTTTTTTCTTTGAATTTATTACTGCGAAATGAAAACTAAATACGTAATTAAAAAGAATAGTTATCCTAAAAAGCCAGATATATACAGTATGTGCATGGAGACAGCAAGAAAGGGGAAGGGCAAAGAGCAAATCAACTATGGGTTGTCCTTCTGTGATTGCCACCTGACTTATAAATCAATCCTTTTACTCTTATCCAATCACAGTTATATGAAGGGGAAAAATAAAACCACTAATGAGAAAATTAGCATATATGACAAGTTCACATTTGCTAAGTATATACCTTTAGACATCACAAGCCTAATAATGAGCTGGCATAAGTTTCTTTTGTCAGGACTCTGCAGGTATGGACTCTTATAATACAGTTCCTTTTTAGAGGCGGAAACATTTATTTCATAGCTCTTGGAAATGCGCCCTTTATAAGAAAGAACAAGATCATTGTGGGGTGTCTCTCACAGAACTGAAGTTACAGCGGTTGTGAAATGAATAATGAGGTTTCCAAAAGGAATGATTTCCCATTCGTCTAAAACTGCAAACCGCCAGATCTCAACCTCTACATCCTTTGTAGATGTAGCAAACAGTAGAGCTGGGGTGACTCAATAGGAAGATGTGTGTGGGAGAACCAGACAGGTCTGAATCACCAGTTTCTTTATCTCTGAATCACCGTTAGTGTCACGTAAAACTGCACTTGCATAAACCCGAACCTGCTGTTGAAGACCCATGTTATGCATTTGAAAACTGGTTTGCACAAAATGCACCATTCCTTTGTACAAACAGATGACGACCTGTTTAGACAGGTAATTTAAGACATCAGTGAATTCCAAACATTTTCCATGGGTTTGACAAGCAAGCTCTAATATCACCGTTCTAGTCCTTTCTTGCTTAATGGATGTTCTTGCTAACTACTCCCTTATTTCTAGCTGTAAAACAAAGCAGAAATAAAATACAGTGACTTTATAGTAGGCAAATGTTGTTGAAAAAGGTGCCAGATGAATCAGAAACATATAACGCGTAGGTGGAAAATGTGAGACAAAAATGCAATGGATATTACAGATTTTTTTAATCTGCCAAATAGAAAATACTTAATTTCTGTCCATAACATTTTTATAAACTGCGCACTCATGAAAACGACTTTCCTTTAGAAAATTCCTTTTGAATTTCCTTTAATTGGCCCAATGTACACCTTAATTAATTCAATCAAAGGTCAGTTCGTTAAGACAACCTCTAGGTATAATAATGTTAACTTATTTGTTCTCTCTAGTTTCAACAGACATTTATTTAATGGTGTTGCATCTTTCATTTCTTAATTCCAATTCTTTTGAAATAAAGCGTTTAAAATCCATTCTTGCTTATCAAACTTCCAGCTTGCATGCAAGAAGAAGTCCTATTATACCAGTTGCCACACCACCCTTATGGTTTTCCTTTGTTTTTTTCTAGTTCAGAAACAAGGAAAATAAATCAAAAGACAATATAATATTGGGCACGCTCCCAGAATTATGGTTAGATGACAATTTTGTTGCACATTTACAATTGGTTACTTCATGAATTATCTCCATTTTTTGGAATTTAATATCAAGCAATAATAACATAATACATATTTATTTATTAATTAAGAATATATACTAAATATTATTAATAATACAAAAGTAAGATATTGAGGTAAATTGATCAACTGTGATGGTTTTTATGTTCAGAGCATTGGAAGCAGACACTGCTGTTATTAATTAAATAAGTATGCAATATCTTTTTTAGGTTAAAAAAATGGAAGTTCTTTCAAGTTTTTATATTAAGAGTTGTGTTTCCCCAGGAAAAATTATCTGGGATGCATGCAGAGATCAACACAGCCAAAGATAGCTCTAAACAGGCCTATAATAAAACAGGATGTTTTTTCCCCCGTTAACCTCTTTTTACCTCTTTCTGTCATCCTCTTCTCACTTTCTCTGCCACTCAATTCATTTTTATTTTTACATCTTGGTAAAGAAAGCAGTTCTTCAAGTGGGCAAGCCTTCTGGCAGTGAAAAAAAAATGAGATAAAGTATTGACATGCACCATTTCTGCTGCTATGACCTAAAAATAAATTGTGTTTTATGTGGCCACTTGTTGGAGATTTTATCATTGCTAAGAGCTTTTTAACTACTACTGGTAGGTGAGAAGTAGAGAAAGGGAGGTATTTTCACATGCTGCCCACATGTCTGTTTTCTCATGTAGCTGGAAAATAAAATGAGTTTTTATATTTGAGACAGATGAAACTCTCTATCCTTCCCCATCTCCCTCTCCCTCTTGTGGCTTAGGTGAAGGTGTGACTTTCGTATGTATGTATGTATGTATGTATGTATGTATGTATGTATGTTTAATTTCTATGCCACCCATTTGCCCTACTAGGTGACCCTGGGCAGCTTACAAATTATTTCTTAATAAATCTTCTCCCTTTCCCATTTAGCCAGGTACTGCAAAATGTTCAGATATATCTTAACTTCTGAGAAGAAAGAGTAACAGTTAGTAACAGAGCAAGAGAAATATTTATTGCCAGTGAAAATGTTCTTTCAGTATAATATGTGTATGGAAAAAGCTGCAAAACTGGAAACATGGGGTGGGGGGGTGGGGAGGAGGAAGGAAAGGAAGTAGAAATAGGCCAAGAAGCAGAAAAAGGGGTGAGAGATAGTTGATAATGAGAGATCAGAAGAAGCCTTACATGTTTTGGCTGGATCAAATTAAAAACCCCTGCTGCACTGTATTGAATTACACACATTGATTTGAGTCTGTCAACCACTCACAGGTCACTAATGCTAAAGTATTATTTCTGTATGCATTAATTTAAAAAAATGATTCTAACATTGGGAATAACAGCTAAGTTATTTTTTCACTCACAGTAGAATGGAGTAGGCAAAATGTGTACATTCTCATGGTGTGTGTGTGTTTACTTTCAAGAAAAAAATTGATTCCCAATTACTGTCTTGAAGAAGTTCCTGCAGTTTTCTTGGCAAGATTTCAGAAGTGGTTCACTATTGCCCTGTAGGAAGTTAGCACCCACCGCTCTCCTAGAAGAATGAAATATTCTAGGAAATATTAAAAAGGCAGAATATTATACCTCCCTGGATGAGAAAAGGAGAAACATGCTCTTAGAAAGCAGCCCCCACCTTTGCTAATAGCCCCAGAAAGACTGGGCCAGCTTATCTACAATACAAAAGACCTTCACCCTCAGGACATGATAGGATTAGCCCTCTACCTATCTCACTACATGACACCTGAGAAGATTACATCACCCAGCAAGATTCAACCAAACCTGGGTCTCAAGACAAGCTACAAAGTTACCCCTGCATGGCCCCATGGGAGTCTGACAACCAATCAGGATACATTTCTTGCCACAGGAACAGGAAGCAAGTTCAAAGCCCAAGAGAGGGTATAAATCTCTCTCCCTCTCTTACCCATGTGCTCTTTTTGCCCAGGACCTCAAACCATGTGGCCTGTCCACCATCTTTCCAAGCAGTCTCCATGTTTCCAATGTCTTTCTTCCCACTAGGAACTGAACCCAGATGGACATTTCTTCCAGCAGCCTGTTTCCTAGGACTGAGAGACAGTGACTGGCCTAAGATCATGGCTTTGGGCCTAAAGTGGAACTAAGAACGCATAGTCCCCAATCTGATACTTTAACTACTACAACTTTACAAAATTTTATAAAGGCCACTCAATACCTTCTTGTACATTAAGGAAGCAGAGAAAAGATGTGCATGGGAAATTACTTGATTTCAGGTCAGAGATCCATGGATTTTGGAAAAAGCCTGGAGTTTGTAGATCCCATCTTTTCAGTCACTAGAATCAGACTCATTTCCAACTCCTTTTCAACTTGACTTTTTGACATGGTCTATTACAGAAATGGTTTTTTTAAAAAAATAATGGTTGTAGGAAAAAACAATTACAGCATAGCCCTGAAGTAGGGGCAGGGAACAGTGGAATTATTTGCAAATCAGGATTTTTCCAGCACAGAGTATAGCAGAGTAGAGCCTTATGGACTTCAACTCCCAGAATTCCCCAGTCAATGGCTGGGGAATTCTGGGAATTGGAGTCCACAAGTCTTAAAAGTTGCCAAGTCTGGAGACCCCTGGAGTAGAGGGATGGGGAGGGTTAATCACGTCCTGTATCAGCTCGGACTCCCGAAAGGGACAAAATCAGGGAGCTTCCTGGAGCGAGGCAGTCTCCTGGCCTGTGCTCTTCAGCGGGAGCCCTCTGCCCTTCTCTCGTCCTTTCGACCGGTCAGGCCTCGGGGTCTGACGCTGCGGCGGGAGACAACCAGCCCAGCTTCGCGGTGCTTGTTTACTCCTTAACGATCGATCTCCTTCGCCAGAGCCAGCTCAGCTCCGGGGCAGAGAAAGCCAAGCGGGGCAGCCTCCCTTGTAAACCAGAGCCACCCTCAGCCGGTCTGGGGGCCAATGACAGGTTGAGAGCTCAAGAGGGCGTTGCAGGAAAAAATGCACTCGAGGTGACAGCCAAAACTCCTCCTATCCTCACAACGCCTTGGCGTGTATTGTGGGGAACATGGCAGATGGAGATTAGAAGCGGGGCGGCTGCTGAGGATTCGGCTGCTCCTACCTCCCGCGCCACTTGTTGGCTGCCCTTCGGTGCCCTTGCCTTGGAGCTGGCCGGGATGCAGTAGGGCGTTTGCAGAGGACCTGGAACCTTTAGAAACCGAGCGATCGGGTTGATCGGGATTTTTTTTTTTTTTTAAAAATCACCGGATTCCTTGAATGCCCGCGCGTGTGCGCAGCGCAGGCAGGCGCGGGGAGCTCGGGGCCGTGCGCGCTTGGGATGACCCGGCCATGGAGGGGCAACGGCAGCGAGCCGGGCGGGCAAGCCGCTTGCTGATGAAGACGCGCTGGACGCGCGGCAGGGGCCCGCGGCCGGGAGCAGAGCCAGCCACTGCTGCAGGGATCGGGTGCCGCTGGCTCCCTGCGGCGGCAGCAGCAGCAGCAGTTCCCAGTTGGGACCGGGCGCCCTTCGCGTAGCAACCCCGCATTGCTCATAATCTTGCGGCTCCGCGCGAAAAGGGCCGAAGCGGAGGAAAGGAAGGCGCGCCGGGCATCCACATCTCAGCGAGAAGGAGGAGGAAGAGGAGGAAAAAGGTGAGGGTGGAGGGAAGCAGGCAGAAGCAGCCGCAGCAGCAACCATGCTGCCCGGGGTGGGCGTGTTCGGCACCAGCCTGACCGCCCGGGTCATCATCCCGCTTCTAAAGGACGAGGGCTTCGCGGTCAAGGCGCTTTGGGGCCGCACTCAGGAAGAGGCGGAAGAGCTGGCCAAGGAGATGAGCGTCCCCTTCTACACCAGCCGGATAGACGAGGTCCTGCTGCATCAGGATGTGGATTTGGTCTGCATCAACCTGCCGCCTCCCCTCACCAGGCAGATCGCGGTGAAAACTCTGGGTGAGTCTCCGCGGCAGCTTAGCGGGCAGCTGATTTCCGAGGGTGGAGGAGGGAGGCCGGGGAAGAAGCGGCAGCGCCTTGAAATGGAAAAGGCCTGCTTGGAAGCCAAAACCCTGGCTGCCCTAGATGCCCTCTAGAGTGCCCTCCTATTAGATGTACAGCCTGCCTGGCTATTTATTGGAAAGAAAAAGAAAAAAGGCTCTGTACATCCTTAGGGGTGCAGGCTCAGTTTTTATTACTGCTTATGCCACAGGGCCTTTCTTTCCCCCTTGATAACAAACCCTAAATCTGAATACTGCTCCCTATCAAATCCCAGATTGCTTAAGGGGTGCTTCAAAAGTCCTTTCTTGCCTACAGGAGTGTAACTTTTGAAAGGGTTAAAGTGCCAAGCGAAGGCCCTCTTCATATGCTGTAGAGGTGTTCTTATAATCCTGAAAACAAGTTGCATTAGAAACTGTCAGAGTGATGAAATGAGGGAATATAAAAAACCTGCACAGAATTCTTCTTCAAGGAAACTGACAGTCTGCCCACATATTTTTTTATATTCCTGGTGTTTTTTCTCCTGGCCAGCGTGGCCTTTGTTTTCCTCATGGATTTCTCATCTTCTGTGACTGAATTATCATTTTTGTATCAAATCATTCTTTGAGAACTTTATTTCTGTGGATCTAGTCAGCCCATTTTACTCAAACAATACAAAATTGAGCTTCCAGCTGTTTTCCTTCTGAAATTCTTATATCTACCTGGTGCTCCAGGGTGTATGATCAGAGAATAACGGGACTAGGTTTTGATATGCCCAGTATTGAGTTTGACATGGTCAAGCTACAGCAGTGTGACAAAAGCAGATGGAAAGTGGGTTAAAAAATTCCAAAGCCTATCTCATTTTAAATTAATTTAATATTTTCCCCCTTTGGAATGGATTTGTGTGCTCATTTTGAATTGAACATAATTAGCTTTTCAGACAACTCACCCCTGCTTTTTTGAAGTGTGTGTGGTAGGAAACAAATCTTAAACTTACTGATTCACTAAATAAATTAGTGTTTTTCAAACACCCCATACACCAGGCAGGTCTGACCTACAGTTCATTAGCTGCATGTGGCCCTGGAAAGCTAGCAATGCAGCCCAAAAGATAAAAATATATTAAAAAGGGAAGTTTGTTACTTATGTACATTAACTATATTATATATTTTATATGTGGCCCAAGACAATTCCTCAGTGTGTCCCAAGGAAGTCATATGCTTGGACAACCAGGCCATAGAGCTTTCCATTGCTACACTTTTATTTTTGTCCAATATAAAAGACAATAGTCTTTAAAAAATTGATGGGTAGCATAGTCATTGCACTTTGTTTCCCTCTATTGCTAATATTTATTATAAATAAAGCATTGTTATTTCCAGTATAAACAACTCTCTGTGGAAAGGACGTTGTGTTGTATAAAAAGAGCCAGTGTTAAATTTCTGTTTGAATTTATGAAAGTTATTTTTCTATGAGAAAGTGATATAGCTTTATGTTAAAGCCATACTTTGACTGCAACAAATCCTACTTTCAGTATCTAGCCTTTCCAGGTAAGGATGGAGATCTGAAAAACCTTGGAGATCTGAAATCAGTGGTGATCAACATTTCCTAAGTAAAGTGTATTCCAGAAGTATTAGATTGCAACTCTCATCAGTTGGCTCCTCTTGATAGCCAGTGGTATTGTTCTTTAAAAAAAAAAATATCAGCAAGAAAAACAGCAGCTTTTTCATATTGTCTGGGGACATTGGGGTTGCAGTCTTATCTACCTGGAGAGCAGCCAGACTGGAGAAAGTTCTTTTAGACCAGAGTTAAGAATCATGATTTAACCTTAGAATTTTTAGAATTTTATAATTTTTCAAAGGTAAAAACTGTTTTTAATGAGTCACAAAAATAAAATAGCATGTAAATATTATACAAGAATTATCATGAAGAATTTGACCCACAATGACACTGACCCATAATAATTACTGATAGTTTTGTATTCCTTCTTAGACTGCATCAATTTATATACAATAAAACCTTAATTTAACAGATCAAGAGAGAGGGTGGGCGGGTCCATTATTCCCAAATGTCTATTAAATCACAAATCATGCCATTTATTATAATGTAGATCATTTGCATAATACAAATGAAGCAGATTGTTATTTCAGTCAATTTGCATTGTTTTAGTAACCCTCTCATTAGGCAAATGGTATAAATTATGAATGATGTAAAATTATCATAAAATATTCAGTTGCAACGGACTTGCTTGTTACTTCAAGGGCTGTCCAGAAAAAACTTTGGCCTGTTGCATGAAAAGGGGTCCACTAAATAGAAGTTTTGTTGTATTGTGTTTTCAAATAGGACAGCAGTATATGCAGATGTGACGGAATAGAGTTTTTTTCTTTTTATAAAAAAGTAATCTTTAGATATTTTTCAGCAGTGTTGCATTTTTTAAAAAATTGCCAAATAAGATTCAGTTTTCCTGAATTGCACACCTGCTGCAGTTGCATAAAAAGAAGTGTCTTCACTTCTGTTTTTTAGACCAATGCAACAGCTATTTCAGGTTCAGGGAGAGGAAGATAAGACAGGAACCAAAGTTGGTCCTCAGACATGTAGCCTGACACAAAAGTGAAAAAAAGCAAAAGATATTTTTTATTACCTTTCCAAATCCCCCTTTATAAAAGTTTCTAGAGTTTCACTTCTTTTGTTATTTTGCTGCTAGAGAGAAACAACTGAAGTGGATTTGCTAGGTTCTCATTTCTCCTGCCTCTTTTTATAAAATCCTAGATTCTCCCCAAGCTGATACCCAATACTATTTAGGTGTGTTAAGAAGAAACAGAGTGAGTAGCATATTGGGGAGGATAGGAATTGTAGTCTAGTGTCTCCGAAAGATGCAGTTAGAAGTTGAAGATTGCCAGTGAGCAATGTGTGTCTCTTTTTAAAGAAACAACTGATTGCTTCCATTGTTATTAGTGACTAATTCAATTAGGGATTCCCTGAAGTTAAGCAAAACTGCCATGGAGACCACTGTGGTGATACTGAAAGGCATGCATATTTTATACCACAAGACATCTAATTTGACACAATTGACAATTGGAATATATATATATATATATATATATATATATATATATATATATAGTCATGCAATTAAGACACATTATATACTGTGCTGAATACCTGTATGTCCAGAATCTCTACTAAATATCAGTGTAGGTTCCTCCCCCAGGTAATACGATCAAAATAACTAAAAATATAATAAATGTAATATATATTATATAGGAATTATATACAATTTTTCATGTTTTGTGGTGGATATTCATTAATGTTATACTTGGCTTTTCTTTTCTAGTAAATGGTAAACAAATCTGGGATTTTATGGCTTTCTGAAAAATTCTGTGGATGATTTATTTCTCCATAATTGCTTTTAAAGTAAATTCATTCCTAAACATTATACTTCATTCTTTTTTTAAAAAAAGAGATATCAGTAGACATGACTTCCTTCCCCTCAAAATCTCCTCATAAGTACTTTTTAATATTAACTATTAATTAGTTCCACTTAGACTTTCAGAAGTCTGCCATTTTATGTCTAAAATAGAGTTCAGGAGCGTACTTGAACGAAATATTTGCCCTTTGTAGCCTGGATCCCATATATCCCGGAGAAAATTTTATTCATCTTTTTTATGCTTTGGTTCTTTGAGCTTCAGCCCTTGTGTATTTGGCTCCTAAGTAAATGTTTATTTTATTTAATTTTGTATATTTCCAAATTGCCTATCTCCTTCAAAGAGTTTTTCCCCCCAATTTTTTAAATTAAAAGAAAATACCGGTTCTAGAGTTTTTCTCCATTTTAAACAAACCATTTTGAATATTACCATAAAGAATAGACAATGAACGAAACATCCAGAGATAGTGAAGTGTCCATTATTTTAAACAGAACATGGGGGTAAAACCCTGCATGTTGAATGTTCCAGATTGAATCCCTTCCATTTATAGAAAAATTCTGGGCAAAATCTCTGAAATAATTGTTCTTATGTTATTGAAAATTTTAAAAAAGGAAGGCAAAAACTAATAGAAACCAGTATAAAGTAAAGAAGAAAAAAGAAAAAGAAATGAAAAAGAAAGCTAAAAGTATAAGAAAGGAAAAAAGAAAAGAAAAATGGGAAAAAAAGAAAAAATAGAAAGTGAGTTCTGATCTTTACACCACAATATGTGCAATTATAAATTTACCTCTTTCTCTAAAAGATAAATAGGATAGATGACTTTCCATCTATCCTATTTATCTAAACCATAAATCATAAATTTATTTCTTCTGTTTTACTCAAAAAGTCCATAAGGAGTTTCCAGTCAGCAAGAAATGTCTTTTTGTCCTTTCTCTACTGTAATCAAAGAAGTCAATTTGGCCATCTCAGCAGAAAGGCATTAAGATTCAAACAGCAATCTGCCAAGGATAGTAATGGTTTGATTTATATTGGACATCTTATGTTCCTATGACTCTTACCTTTCCTGGTAGACTGGCTGGATCAGTGTATATGTACACAGCCATTTACTTAACAGGAAGTCCATGTTTCCTTCCTCAGCCTTTATTTTGCAAATCATACATACAATATAGATTATTGTTTTTTTAGGGGCTGGATCAAAAGGAACCTGTGTATTAGGCCATGGAGAAAATAATTTCCATCATATTTTATTTACATGAGAAAGCGCTCCATGGCTTAGGGCCGGGGTACTTACGAGACCGCCTTCTGCCACCAATAGCCTCCCACCGGCCAGTACGCTCGCACAGAGTGGGCCTCCTCAGGGTGCCGTCCGCCAGACAATGTCGGCTGGCGACCCCCAGGGGGAGAGCCTTCTCTGTGACGGCGCCCACTCTCTGGAACAACCTTCCCCCAGAGTTACGTACAATAACAGACCTCCGGATTTTTCGTCGGGCCCTGAAAACCTATTTATTTCAACTAGCTGGGCTGGCTTGAGTTAAATTTTAAATTGATTTTAAATTGGGTTGTTTT